TTGCGTGGGTAGGAGTGTTGAGCAGCTAATAATCCACAAAATAGAAACCTATTCATATTAGAGATCTTATTCTTTGGAGTAACTGAGAAGGGAAATCATATTTCTGATAAGCTCCATAGCTGCCACTAGGTAATATCAACCAAGAAGGAATGGGACCTTAGGGAAAAAGGTATGAATAGGGTCTTTCTTATGTAGTTGGCTAAACAAAGGAAGAATGAGAAGAAAAGGTTCAAGGGGAGGCGAGGGACTGAATAAATTGAGGACAATAGGAAAAGAGGTTAGTACTAGGATTATACAAAGATGGACTGGGGAGAGACAGGCTGCTCACCATTGACGTAGAGACTGTTCTTATCCAAGATGTAGGGGCCAAGTCTGGTGATTCCATTTCTCAGTTTGCTCAGCTCACAATAAACCCTCTCTCTGTCCAGAAAGAGGACACTGGGTTCTCTCCAGTGGAGGCACACAGCATTCATTCCTGTTGCTTCTTACAGCTGAGAAAGAAAATGTTGATCTAGACCCCTGAGACGGCTACAGAGACATCTAGTGGGTATCACAGGTATGGGGACAATGAAATTGAGATGTGTGCGTCACTACGGCAAAAGGTGAAAGTGACCCTGGGAAGACTGATGAGCTTCCACATCTACCATGTGGGTAGGACCATTGAGCAATCACAGATCTTCATTAAAGAGAGCCTGACATCAGCGAAGTTGTTCTAAATCATGACTTATAAGGGCAATCTCTGTTCCAAGAATCCAAACCAGAGTGGTAGAAATGAAGCAGTTTGGGGAATCTGAACATGGAAGAAGCATGGGGCGGGGTTGCCTCTGCTGTTTGTTCAGCTTTAACCTGAGCTGTGTGACTGGGAACTGAGAATGCATGCCCTCATCAAAACAACCCTCAGATTATGGGATCTCACCTCAAAGATGTCACTCTGCATTCAGACTAGAGGGAGCCAGTGCTGCTATTCCTGAACAGGAGTTTGAGGTGGTAAAGGAAAGAGAGGGAAATAATAATTAGAGGGAACACTTCTCTAACATTTTAAGGTTTAAAAAGCACTCCACATTTTATCTCATTTGTTCCCTGCAATAGCCCTATGAAGTAGGTGCTATCTGAGAGAAAGCAAGTGACCCGCCCAAGGTCACACATCTTTTAAGTATCTAAGGTGGCATTTGAACTTGGTTCTACCTGACTCAAAGTCGGACACTCTATTAAGACTGAAGCAGCTAGGTGTTCCTGTGGGTAGAGGCTAGAACCTGGAGTCAGGAAGACCTGAGTTCAAATGCAGCCTCAGAAACTTATTAGCTGGGTGGCCCTGGGCAAGTCATTTAACATCTGTCTGCCTCAACTACCTCATCTGTAAAATAGAGGTGATAATAGCACTTACCTCTTAGGGCTATTGTGAGGAGCAAATGAAATGACTTATGTACAATGCTGTGAAAACTTTAAGGTGCTATATAAATACTAGCTATTATCCAACAAACCATGTAGATGCTTCCTAAGGGAAGTAAGCTTCTGTCTCTAAGCAAGGCCTATAGTCTAAGACATGCAGAAGAAAATCTTACAGGTAGAGAATAAAGGATTTGGGTATGTGTGGTAGATTGCGTCTCACCAGGTGCTGCAGCATTTTCTCTGTGGTGCTGAATTTACTGGAACCAGTGTTTTCCACATCTGTTGTGTAGAGCAGGTTGGTGGTGGTGAAGTTCAGTGTGAAAGCTTCCAGGCTGTGGCCAGTGGCTGCAGTGGAGAACAGAAAGAATCCTCCATGTCTGAAGTTTGGGTGCATCAGCACACTCAGAGGCACCCAGCTGTTGAGCTCTCCCTTTCTGGAAGGAACACTCAACATCCCGGTGTCACCAGGGTCCCCATGAGGGTACGTCTCCCATTCCACCCTGCCCTGAGTTCCCCTTTTTCTTCATCTCCAATTTTCAAATTTCATTCCCAATTAGACTTTCCTGGAATGAATAATAGATGCAGATCATTTGTACCTGTGGTGAGGGAAGGAACGAGAGATGCTTCTGGGGTAAATGCAGTTGATGCAGGAGCTGAAAAGTTATTGGGGTGGAAAAGCATCGAAACATCACTGTCTGGGTGCCATTATAAGGGGAATGGGCTATGAACTTCAAAGGGGGAAATGGCTCAATGAGCTTAGCTTGAAATGTTACACTCTCTAGATACGGATTGAGCTATGAGGGGGGAGTTTCAGTCACAGTAAGAGAGAACAGTGATCTGAATGACACACTCTACTGGGGAAGCTTCCTATATGGGATATCCTGGTCCTTCACTATCCTCAGCTTTCTGGTGGACAAGTGAACTCATTCCTGGCCCCCACAGAGATTTTTCTGGTTGTTAAATCACCAAAAAATCAAAATCTTGTCCGGTCACTGGGACATGGGACAAGATGACACACCCAAGCCACACATCCTGACTTTCCTCCCCTGGCAAATGACTATTTCTTAGAGAAGACGTTTTAAAACCTGAGACTTTCCCATCTTTTAGGTACTACAGGTCTTTCCAGCAACTAGTTATGGCCCCGTGGTAGCTCTCCAGGGCACTGAAATCACCCCATTCCTACCTGAGGAGCCTCCAGGCTTTGTGGGCTCCAGAGAGGTTGCAGATGAGGATGCAGTCCCTGACCCTAGAGCTGGAAAGGAATGCCATTAGAAACCATGGTTGGACACGGAAAGCACAATGAATGTGAATGTGAAGTTGATTGTGGCCACATGTGTATGAGTCCAGGGCCCTACACCTAAGTGGTGCCTAAAGTGTGTACTCAATGATGATTGAATGGATGTAATCAAATTTCTCTGATGGCTGCCCTAAAATAGGATCCTGTCACATGATCATCAGATAAGGTGTACTGTCAGGAATCTTTTATGCATATGTAGGGAGAAGGAAGGGGAATTCAGTACTTCATGCAACCTATGAATGTGAGACCCCACTCAATACCTCTTCCAGAGATTTGTAACCTGTTTGTCTTCTCAACCTCCCTATTTGGACAGCTTCACTAGTAATCATTATCTAACCTAAAGGAGAGGAATTCTGGAGTAGGAGGTGATGATTCTGGGTCTCTTAGGCTTTTCCCTTCCAAAATCATTGGACTTAGAGTTGAAGGCACCCTCAGAGGGCACCTATGCCACAGAACATCCCTGACAAGTGGTCACAGAGCATCCATTTGAAGATCTCCAAGTGATGAGGAACTCACTACTTCTACATGTAGCCATTCCACTGCAGGAATACCTTTCTTGTGGTGCCTCAGTGGGCCACAGAGTCAAGTACTATAGTACAAGTCACAACTATTTCAGAGAGGCATAATGGGACCTTTATCCAGGGGAACCAGACTCAAGATTCCAATATAATCGAGAACTCAAAGGGAATCCGAATGCTTAAATACTTACGGGAAGGGTTGACTGGAAGGTGTTCATCATAACATGGAAAACAAAGTATTGGATAATGAAGGGAAGGAGTACACTACCCAACCAGAGAAGGAAGAGAGATCATCAGAGAAGCTGAAAGTGGGGAGAACAGCTGAGTCCAGATGACTCAATCTGAGGCCTCCTGGCACCTGGAACATGTGCTGCTTGAAGGGGAAGAGAGGGGAATTTCCCTATGCTCCCCCAGCTCTTTGACATGAGGGCCAGTCCCGGGGACCGAAAAAGGAAACTTACAGCTTGGGGTGGGTTGGCAGAGGGAATTCGGGGTGAGCCTCGGGGGCTTGAGCCTAGGTGCTCCAATGAACACACTCTTGCTATGCCTTGGTCTTTGGAAACACACAGGGAGCAAACACTCTGATTGGCATCCTGCTTTGGCCCTAGTCTTTCCTCCTCAGTCTTTTGGCTTCTAATAAGTATTCAGCACACCAGGACAAGGAAAGCCTGGAGTGGAGCCCTTTCTCTCTCTCTCAACCTCCCCTCCCTGGCCAGGGCCCTGGAACATCAGCTACCTCCTCTATAAAATGAGGATGATAATAATAACACCCGTCTTCCCAGAGTTGTTTGAGGATCAAATGGGTAACACTTGTAAAGTACTTTGCAATTTAAAGGCTACATTAAATTATAATAATAATAATTTGCTTTTTAGGAAATTCTTCTTTATACTTAGAAAAATCTGTTTTCTCAATCTTCCTATTACATGGTATCAAGTTCCCTCCTCATCTTATTCATCTCTTTTGGGCATGCTTCATCTTGTCAGTGCTCCAAAATGTGGCCCTAGAACTGGACACAATATATCAGATGAGGGACATTAGGGGACAGCAGAACTATCACATTCCTCCTTCTAGATATGATATATCTCCATGAAGCTAACATCTCACATGGTTTTAGGACTTCCTCCAATTGAGCTTGCAGTCCACTAAGACCCCCAGGTCTTCTTTGCATGAAACTTGTCTAGCCATGTCTACTCCATCTTGCATTTATGGGATTAGATTTCTTAAGCTTAACTGAAGAACTTTATGCTTATTTTTAATAAATTTACCTTGCTAGTCCTTATCAATCATTTGTGTGGACTGAGGTTTTGTTGGACACTGGTCTGTCTAATACATTAGCAAGCTATCCTTTCCAGATTCATTCATTTCGACATTTGACACTATGTCTCAGGCTATGAAGACAGCATGGTGTAGTGGGTAGTGGGTCAGACATGGAGTCAGGAAGACCTGAACTCAAGTCAGAACTCTGACATACATTAGCTATATGACTATGGGTATCAACCTCAGAATGCTCAGCCAATTCTATAAGACTTTAGGTTACACATGAGTTGACCCATCTGCACTGGAAAGAGTTTACTCATTGGGAGCCTCTCTACTAATAAAAACACAAGTCTGGACTCTGAAAAAAAAAAATCTTCCATCAAAGTCAATGCTAGAGCTCCTGAACATAACAAAATTGAAGCTTAATGCCAAAATTGTAATGACCCAAAGAATAGATAGGCAAAGGCACTTTCACCCATTATTTACAGAAGTGGAAGGCTATGGATGTGGAACACGATGTATAATGTCTAACTTTTCATTATTTTGGTTAGTTTTGCTAAATTGTTGCCCCTCCCATTCTTTGTTGTAAGAAATGGCTCTCTGGAAGGTGAGAGGATTTATCAGAAATGTAGATGATGTAAAAACAAAAGATAAAAAACAAAGATAATATGCCAATTTATGTTTAAAAAAAAAGTATTGACCAGGACTGTGAGGCTGCCACAAGTAACAACAAACCAGGACCCATTAGGAACCACTTCCCAGTTAAGTGCTATGGAGAGAGTTAATCTTATGCAAGTATCTCAACAAGGGATAGAGAAGAAATGGTTCTGAGTAGGTTAGGGATTGAATGAAAATAAGAAAGACAGGAAAAGAGGCTAATACTGAGATTATAGCAGAAGAGAAAGGGGGGCGATGCAGTGGCCACTGTGAGGCTGCTTACCATTGAGATAGAGACTGTCCTTAGCAAGGCAGTAGGGGCCCAGCATGGAGATGCCATATGTCTGGTTCCTCAGGTCCCCGTAAAGCCTTTCTCTGTCCAGGACAGGTCTGTTAGGGTCTTTCTGGTAGGTGCACAAGGCACCACTCTGGTTGCTAATCCATCTTTCATAGGTCTGGGGAGGGAAATATTGGAAGCTCTAGTGACTGGTGCTGAGAGATTAGCCAGAGGAGTGCTCAGATAGAGGGACAATGAAAGTGAATGAGAGGGCTGCCTGCCACATGACATGATAGGATTAACAGAGACCTTCTAGGGTGTCTGATGGATACTACTTACCTTCTGGGATGAGACTGTTGAAGAACAAAACTTCCCACTAAGGACTATCTTGATATATAGGCCTTTTCCTAAATTATGACTTACAAGGGAAATTTATTTTCCTGAGAACCCATGGACCAGATGAATGGAGATAAAGCAGTTTGGGAATTTAAACATGGAGAAGGTATAGTAGAAGGACAGTATGTGGAGAGTTCTGCTATTGTGCTTGTATCCTTTGAGCCCTGGTTCAGAAACAGCCCATTAGGAAATCTCTGATACTGGAGGCCAGGAGGATTCACTCTCAATCAATTGCTCAACTGTCAATTTTCCTGGTTCTCACCTCGGGAACATCAGCTTGCATCCAGAATAGGAGGGGCCAATGCTGCTGTTCTGGAATAAGTGGCCAAGCTGGCAAAGGAAGGGGAAGCTGAATCAGTTCCTGGCTAAGGCAGTAGCTGGAATCAAAGGTATGCAGAATGCAATGGCACAGGCAGGAAAGGAGGCAGGTGGGGGGTCATCTCACCAGATGCCGTAGGATCCTGTCAGTGGTAGTGAATGCACTGGAGTCTGGGTGCTCCATTTCTGCAGTGTAGATCAGGTTATTGATGGTGAAATTCGAGGTGAATGCCTCCAGGCTGTGGCCATGGGCTGTAGAAAGAGAAGGAGACAAGTCGTCATACCTGAAACTAGGGCACATCGGTCAGCACACCTAAAACACCCAGCTACTAGTGTCTTACTCCTTCCTGGGAAAGAAATGCAGCATTCTGAGTCCCAGTGATGGCCATTTGATGGGACATCTCCCAATCCTAAATGCCACCTTGCTTTGTACTTCCCATCTTCTAGTCTCACATTTAGTACTATCCCAGAAATAGCCATAGGTGCTGATGGTTTTTACCTGTGGTGCTGGCAAATGGTGAGGGAGACAGATGTTGCTGGGATGAGTGTGTTACTGCAGAACCTGAGAAAAGATCATTGTGAATGAAAACCATTGGCAATGCCACTTATCACTGTCTTCAACATGAGCTATGGGGAAGAACTTCTTGGCTTGGATGCTGAGTCTCCTTGTGGGTACTCTCAATCCTCAGCTATGGGGACTGAGGAAGATACAGGGACTGACAGGTAGGGCTGCTTGTGCTGTAAGCTCCCCCATTCAACGCAAACTCTTTTCAAGCAGGTGTTGTTTTAGTCACTATATTTTTATCCCCAGGACCTAGTACAGTGCCTATCCCAAGCAGAGGTTCCCAAAGTAGATAATACCACCCCTGGAGGGTGCTGGAACAATCCAGGGGGGCAGTGGTAGCCTTGAATGCAATTGGGGGGCATTGAATAAAAATGGGGGCAGTGCAAGCATAAGGAAAAAAGATAAAAATATTCTGAAAAACCATTCATCATGTTTCATCTATTGGTAACAGGGTTAAAGTCAATGATTACATTACCTTTCAAATTAACACACAAAATGCAAGTTATAACCAATCAGTGGTCAAGTCCACAACAGGTCTTAACAGCAAGTGTTCATAGGTAAGTGAATCCAATAGAGCATTGTTGGGAAGTTTAACATGCACCTAATGACTTGTTTACAATACAGTACTATATGGGTTACATGATGTAATATTGCATGATCAAAATTTCAATGCAGGAAAAAACCCACAAATTTACAATAAATTATTAAATTAAGATATGTCATTAAAAATACATTTCATATTTTTGAAATGACACACATTAAAAAAAAACACTAAAGGTCAAAGAAAGTAGATTTCCAGAGGGCATTAAGTAATTTTTTTAAAGGGAGGTAGGTCCAATAAGTTTGGGAACCTCTGCCATAGAAGGTGCTTAATAAGTACTTGGTAGTTGATTTATTGGTTGATTCTGTTGGTAAAGCCCAGCAGGCCTGGGATGCCTTGGGCCATTCTTTTGAAGGGGACACTCAAAAGTGTCTTATTTCGAATTTCCACAGTGATTGCTCTGGCTAATTGGTAAAGGAGGAGTTAGGCAATTCAATCTTGTCTGGTCTTCACAGAGGTATACTTTATTTATCACTGGCCTCAGAGCCAGGAAGAGCCAAGTTAAAGACCTGTCTCTGACACATAATGGTTATGTGACTCTGGGTAGATCACTTAACCTCTCCTTGCTCTAGGTAACTCTCTAAGTCTGTAAGTTGCAGAGAATGTGCTGACTTGCACTGGTAGAGGCACTTCCCTCATCTGGGAGTTCCCTCTATCCATGAAACAGTACATTTATTCTCTATCCCTTATCCCTGGTCTTCGTGATGTGTGATCTGCAGTGACACACACCGAGCCCTATACCTCAAGGTCTCCTCTCTGTTTGGGAGGTAACTATATTTTAGGATAGGGATTATGGAAGGTTCAGGATTGTTCCCTCTTTCAAACAGCAAGCCTCTCCCCAGACTGTTTGGTCTACAGGAGGCAGAAGCAGCTGCATCCCCAATCTGTGCAACTTCCAGTCCCTGCAGTCCACACTGACATGCTGGTTGTTTGGTCTAGGAGCTCAAGAAAACAGTTCCATTATAGAAGCATGGAATCATGGATAATAGACTAAGAGCTTAAGAGACCTCAGAAGCCAGTGAATCCAACCTGCCTCTGACCAGGAATCTCCTCTCCCACACAGGAGGTATGCATTAGAGATGGACCATGGCCACAGCTGCCTTCAGGCAGAGAGCTCAGTGAAGTTGGGCTCATTAGACACCAGCCCAGAGACCTCCATTGAGAAGTCCCAGATGAGAGCAGTGCCTCTACTACTTGTTCAATGAGTGGCTGACAGAATGTACTCATGCAGTTGCTGCTAGGCTGAGCTTCAGGACCTCTCCTCAGTGTGCCCGTTGAGGGTTTGGTGACTCCATTAATCAGGCAAGTTGAAATCAGGGCTCCCCAGGGAACCATCATGTGAGTTCATTCTCACTCCTCCCATTCTCTGCCACAGAGTTTAAAATCAGTTGTGTTGTACCAATCCCTCTGACCTGCTTGTGGGGACAGCTAGGAGAGTCCTTACCACCCAAACTCAGAAAGAAGCATTGGAGGCTTGAGGCTCTGGCTCTAGATCATGAAGGGTTACAGCATGTGTTAGAAAGAGTGCTGGATTTAGGGACACGGGATCTGGGTTCAAATGCCATATTTGCCACTTACTACTTGTGACCTTGGGCACTTCCAGCCTCCCTCTGAAGAGGGATAGGAAATGCACTACAACCTCCCAAGGCAGCCCATTCCATGCTTGAGATCCCTTCCTGGCAACACCTGAAACGGCTTAGGGGGCATAGCCCTTAGCACAGGCCACATGTGGTTGAGCTTGTCACACTGGGGCCCACCTCTGGGGTCAGGAAGGGAACAAGGCTTAGGACCAACAGATGGCTGATGGTGGAATTGGATGGCACAATAATTACTGGCAGTAGGTTTGACCAATCTGTGTTCATTATAACCTAGAAAACAAAGAATGGACAGTTAAGGGAGGCAGTACCTAATTCTAGAGAAAAAGGAAGAGAGCAGCTTGGAGGCTCAGTTGAAATAAGGACTTAGTTTATCACCCCTGGGCAACCACGGGACTTGCATCTTTGTGGGGAGAGAGAGAAAATTCTCCTGTCCACTGCCTAACTCTTGTCTGAGACCCAGCCAGGAAGGTAAGAGAGACCAAAGAGGCTTGTAGCTTTAAGTGATTTCCTGTGGGAGCAAATGTAGACTTTTCCTTCTCTGGCCTAAGGAATCACTCATTGCTCCTAATTCTGCCTTCTGGGGTCCAGCAGAATCCAAACCTTCTTCCTTATTACACTCTTCTGGATAATTGAAGAATTCTATCGTGATGTCCCCAAGCTAAACACGAACAGTTCCTTCTAGCTGTCACCATCATCACCACTAGTATTTGATATACAGTGCTTTAAGGCTTGCAAAACACTTTGGACGTGTTATCTCATTTTATCCTCACAACAGATTTATGAGGATTGGTGTTACTATTATTATCCTCCTTTTGCAGATGAGGAAACTGAGGATCAGAGAGGTTAAGTGACTTGCCCAGGTCACACAGCCAGTGAGTTGTGAGGCAGGATTTGAACTCAGGTTTTCCTGACTCTAGTATCAGGACACTATCTACAGCATTGCCTATCTGCCTCTACCCTATAGTTTTCAATTGTCTCTCCAGACTGCGGCTTCTCAAAATGGACTTGCTTCAGCTTGTCAAGGCAGAGGAAAATGGGATTGTCACCTTCCTCCTTTCAGGCTCCTAAACTTCTGTTCTTGCAGACTACTCATTTATGACCAGAGATAGCATGGGAAAGTGGCTTGAACTGGGAATTCAGAGCCAAGAAGATCCTAACTCAGAACCCATGTCTTACACTGAAAGAACTGTGTGATCCTGGAAAATCACTTAATCTCAGGCTCAGGCAACTCTCTAAGATGACAAGTTTTTGATAGGCTGTAATTTGCCTCATGGGAGGGAATTCCCATGCCCGAGGATGATGCATTAACATATTAACATATGAGTGTTGTTTTTGCCTGCCATATCACTTGGATGGCTCTCATTAGTTTCAAATAAAATGCTATCTAGTCCTGTCTCCCCAAATCTATATACTTATTTTTAGATTTTTTTTTAAAGTCCTAAACACAGAACTTAGGATTCTAAAATCATAAATTTGGAGCTGGCACAGACCACATCTTGGCCAACACATTTATTTTACAGAAGACAGAGCTGAGGCCCATATAGATTAGTTAGTTAGTCAACAGCCAAACCAAAGGAATAGCAAAGCTAGGATTTGAACCCAGATCCTTCTCCTTCCAATCACTTCCTTCCCCTACAGAACAGATTGATTCTTATTAAATTTCACCTTGTTGGAACTGAACCATTATTTCAGTGTGTTGAGACTTTTTCAAGCTTCTGATTCCATCCTACTTCTTAGATAGCTATCCTTGCTAAATTCATGTTATCTATACTTCTACTTGCTGCCATCTACATCTCCAACCTAGTAATTACTGAAAAGGCTGGATTTGTGACCAAAAAAGTAGGATGAAGTACAAATATCTGTGGCTACAATAGATGACAACTCAGAAGGGCACCAAGTATTGGGCAGTCTAGGGAATCAGGTGTGGGTAGGTTCTATCTCTTATAGTTAGCCGAACAAAGGAGGAATTGGAAGAAAGGATTCTGGGTAAGGGTGGAGTTAGGGCCTGGATAAAAGAATAATGCTTTAAAATGTGAAGAGACAATGATATTGAGGGTATAGCAGAAGACTTGGCAGGGAGAGTAGCCAAGATTTTGGTTCAGGTAGATAGCTCACCATCAAGGTAAAGACTGTCCTTGTCCAGGGCATAGGGACCCAGCCTGGTGATACCATGTGTCTCCCTGCTCAGCTCCCAGTAAACCTTCTCTCTGTCCAAGACAGGGTTGGCAGGGACAATGTGATGGGTACACAGGGAATCCACTCCAGCTGCAAATCTCTTCTTCATAGGTCTAGGTAAAAAAATGTGTAGGGTGACATGGATACCCACGAAATTGGTGCTGAGAAACCCGATGAGGATTCTGGGTCTAGAGATAGTTAAACTGAGGTGACCTGGGAAAGGCTGATGGTGACCTTGGAATAGTTGATGAGTTAGCATTACTGAGTACTGAGAAACCAGAGAACATTCTTGACATTAGACTGCTTGTTCTAAATCATTACTTACGAATGAAATTGTCTTTCCTGAGAACTCATGGATGAGAGGGACTGGGATAAAGTTGTTTGGGATTTGAATTTGAAACTAGAGAAAACTAGAAAAACAAGTACATGAACAAGTTTCCTTTTTATCCACGCTCCATTGGAGGTTAATCCTCAAGGGTATGGGGGACACATTTCAATGGTTACCTCAAAAAAGTCACCTTGCACCCAGAGTAGAAGGGGCCAATGCTACTTTTTCTGAATAAGAGACTGATCTGGCGAAGGAAGGAAAGAGTCATGTGATCCTGGGGGTAAGAGAAGACAAATCCCAACCAAGGAATGGGGAAGGCGGCTGTGCAGTTGGGGGATGGGACAGGCAGTGAGGAAGACTAACCTGGAGCTGAAGGTCCCTCTCTGTAGAGTTGAATTTGTCAGAACCTGGGTTCCCCATGTCTTCTGCATAGAGTAAGTTGGTGATGGTGAAGTTTAGAAGGAAAGATTCCAGGTTAGCAGTGCCACTAACTGAAGAAAGAAAGGGAGAGAAACATCTATGTGTGAGCAGGAGCCATGTCTGCTAGCATGCCCAGGGACACCGAGTGGCCGTTCTATTCTTTTCTGGAAGGAAAACTCATTACCCTGGTTCCACTGATATCCCTGGTAGGAAAGATTTCCCACTTTATTCAGCTTTTCCCCAAGGACAAATATCTCATGACAAAGCCCATTAAGACACTCCAGGGAAGGATTCAGAGATGCTAACAGTTTGTACTTGTGCTCGTAAAGAATGGTAGTGGGCTGGAAGATGTTACTGGAGCAAAAGTTGATGACACAGGAGCAGAGAATAAATTAGGAAGAAAACCATTGGTAAAACCACAACTGGTAAAACTACAGAACGAAGAGAAGACCATTGGATGGGAAAGGGGCTTTACTTGGCTTGGTCAAGATTGATCAATAAAAAAAATTTATTAAGCACTTACTATATACAAGAACCCGTACTAAGTGCTGGAGATACAAAAAAAGGCAAAATATGGTTCCTGCTTTTTAAATTTTTTTTAAAAATTTTTAGGCAATTGGGGTTAAGTGACTTGCCCAGGGTCACACAGCCAGTAAGTGTCAAGTGTTTGGTCTGAGGCCAGATTTGAACTCAAGTCCTCCTGACTGCTCTATCCACTGCACCACCTCACTGCCCTATGATCCCTCTGCTTTCAAGAAGTTCAGAATCTAATAGGGGAGATTACCAAGTGGGGACCCATATTCTAGCAGAGAATAAGATGAAGTTGAATTATTACAAGAGGTGTCAGGGACTGAGGTAAAAGGATTTTGTTGGGGGCAGCTAGGTGATGTAGTAGATAGAACACTGGTCCTAAGGTCAGGAGGACCTGAGTTCAAATCCAACCCCAGACACTTGACAATAGCTGTGTGATCCAAGGCAAGTCATTTAACCCCAATTGCCTCACCAAAAAACAAAAAAGGATTTTGTTGCTAATGCTGGTCAGACAAGGGGGGCTTTTGTGAGGGGGCTTTCATTTTCCTCATCTTTTGAGTGGGATACAAAGATTTATGCCAAGTGCCTGCATGGATCTTTCTGGTAAATTATCAAATGTTTAAATCTTGTCTGTTCTGTATGACAGGAGAACTCAGAGGACAAGTCACACCTCCTATCTTGTCTTGCCTCTACTTTTAGAGTAAGAAGGATTTGTATGGATAAAGTCTGTTTCCTTTTTCCTTCTTTCAAGAGCTTTGAAAAGCCCAGTGAGCACTTTCCAGAATACTTCAGTCACCATATTCCTACCCGCGTAGGCTCCAGGCCCTGTAGATCCCAGTGAAGGAGTGAAGGTTGATCCAGTGGCTGACCCCGAAGCTGCAGAGAAAGAGTCTTATTAAAAGGTAAACATACAGGGGAACACAGTTAAGATTGCAAACTCCTTGAGGGCAGGCACTCTTTTTTTCCTTTCTTCCTATTCCCAGCACTTAACACATAGAAAGAGATTAAGAAATGATTATTGACTGGGCACCATCTCTGGGTTCTATATGCAGGAAGTGATTAATAATGTTTGACAAAATAAATAAGTGAATGAGATCAAACTCCTTTGATAACTGCTTGAGTGACCATATGAGGGGCTTTCACTGACTAAGGTTACTTTCACTGCTAGTAATGTCTTTAGCAGAAATAGAATTAAGGTCTCAAGGTCTGATCAAGTAATTCCTGCTCCAGGCACACTTTTACAACTGAGGTTCATTTGTGAAATGTCAATTCCCTGGACATTCCTATTAAGACAATTTATTGAGTTATCAACATGCAGCCTTGGATAGAGGACATGGGAATCCCAGAGAGTGAGGCAATGTCTCTGGTCATGAAAGGTCAGAAGGAACAAATGTCCCTTTTCTCTACCTGGGATCTTTTCCACGTGTAATTTTCAGCACTGGAAGCCTCCTCAGAGGGCATATAAACCAGGAATTCCCTAATATCTCTGACAAAAAAAGACTAGCCACCATCTTCCTGAAGAGTTAAAGTGATAAGAAACTCATTAGAAACTCATTGCATATCGAAGCAGCTGATTCTAATCTAGGGAGTCCTTTCTAATAACACTCAAGTGAGTTTTAAGGGCACAGATTTTAGAGAAAGCCATGATGATTTCACTTTTCTCAGTCATATGGATCAATCCCACAAGTGAAGAAATTTCAGGAATCACAACTGGCCTGAGAATCAAATGATATTTATATAACAAGACACTTACTTGTCATGGTTTGGGTTAGACTGCGTTCATTATAACTTGGAAAACAAAGGACAGACAATGAAAGGAAATATCAAAGGAGATGGGAAGAGAACCAGAACACTTGAGAGGCTAGATGGAGAATAAAGACCTGGTGGCTCAGCTTGCTATCTCTTGGCCTCTTTGAGGGAAGGGACAAGAGAATTATCCTGGGCACCTGACATGACAAATGTAATAAAGGACATAGCCTTGATCTACTCTGTTGTATCTAAACATAGAGCAGAACAAACCTTCAGGTTGCCCTGGCTTGTCACCAGACTGCTCTCCCCAGTCTTCTGGCTTAGAAGAGAAATTCAACACACCAAGAATAAGGATTGACAGAATGCAGCACCTCAGGGATGACCTGGTCCAACCCATAACTGACCAAGAATCCCCTCTACAATGTCCCCAACAAGTGGTGATCTAGTAGTTATTTATTTGAAGTTCTTCAGGGAAGGGTAACCTTTTACTTCCTGAAGTAGACCATCTCAGTTTGGTATACCACCACTCAATAGGAAAGTTTTCTTGACGTCAAGCATAAATTTGCTTCTTTGCAACTTTACTCATTGTTACTAGTTCAGCCCTCTGGGACACCAAGCAGGACAAGTCCAGGCCCTTTTCTTTTCCCTGTGACAGCCCTTTAACCACCTGGAGATAGTTGAATATGTTATCTTTCTCAGCACAGCCTAAGATTTTTCTTAACTTTTTTATTTATCATACAACATTGTTGAACCTTGTTGAGCTGGTAGTCCATTAAAATTCCCAATTTTTTTTTCAGAGAAGTCTAGCACAGCTCCTCCATCTTGAACTCATGAAGTTGGTTTTTAGAGTCCAGATATAAAGTTTTATTATTCCTATTAGGTTTCACCTTATTAGATTTGACACCAACATTCTAGCCTATACTTTGGGATTCCAACTCTGTCATCCAATGTATTGGTTCTGTCTTAAAGCTTTTGGGTTACATATGGGCCCCAGGGCAGGCTTAGATGCAACTGTTGTGGCTGGACCTGGAACTGAGAAAAAAAAAAGGGAAATAATTATAGATTGACAGAGACCTTGAGTACTTCCAAGTAGAGAGTTTGGGTCAGTTGTGGGGGTCTATGTATGAGCTCAGGGCCCTTCATGAGGGAGTGACTCAATATATGCTTCTTCACCCAATGATTGAATCATGGGGTCCAATGCCTTTGTTCCTGCCCAGGTTCTTGTGGAGGGAGTCTTTCATGAGAACACTGGCTGTAAGAGGCAGGATTTGAACCCAGATCTTCTGACTCCAGAACCATTTTTATACCATTAGTAACCTGGCCCTGACCTACCTTATTCTGCCTCAAGATGCTATATTCTCCTTGACAATCTCTATGATCTAGCCAAACTGACCTCTCTGCTTCTCACACAGGGTACTATATCCCTCAACTCCATTCTTTTTCACTGGCCTTGTCCCATGCCTGGAATGCACTCCTCCTCGCTTCATCCTCAGAGAATCTCTTTCTTCCTTCAAGACACAGCTCAAGCACCATCTTCTACGAGAAGCCTTTTCTGATTGCCCCCAATTGCTCTCACCCTCCCAACAACCTTGAATTAATTTGAATATTTATTCTACATATACATATATGTGTGTATGGATGTGCATATATGTATACATATATATACAGACACATGTCATCCCCCCACAATAGAATGTAGACCCCTTTAGAGCTAAAATTGCTTCATTTTTTGACTCTATACTCCCAGTACCTAGTACAGTGGCTGATACATAGATGGAGCTTAATAAATGTTTGCTGAATAATTTACTGATTGTGAAGACATCTTAACAAGTCATCTCCACCCAATTTCTAACAAAGGAAGTGGAAACGGTGGAACACAAGGCCATGGCAAGAAGGCAAGAGGGACTGGAAGGATTTTGAGCTCCCTTTCCCTTAACTGGAGCCTTTTCTTCACAGAATCACCAGATTGTATACTATCAGAGCTAAAAGGAGCACATCTAGTTGAAGAACACCCACACTCCAATATCCCTGACAAGTCATCATTTACCCTCCATTTGAAGGCCTCTGGTGATAGAGGCCTCATTACTTCCCAAAGGCTGCTAAATCTACTTCTTGGATTCCTTTCTCATAACATCTGAATGGGCTACAGGGTCAGGGGCTTGGGCAAAGGCCATGACCAGTTTCACACTATCATATTGGGGCCCAATCCAAGTATCAAGAGGGGAATAAGGTTCAGGGCTCCCAGATGGCCCAGGATTCAAATGAGATTAGAGTGTCAACATACTTACCAACACTGGGTAGGAGTGGACCACATTTATTAAACTGGAAACCAAAAGGGGAGTGAGCACAACATGGTGGAAGAGAAAAAAAGGAATGCTCAGACTGAATGGCCCAGTTAAACAGGATCCATTCTGCTGCACTTGGTCACTTGGACACAGATCTGCCTCTTGGGAGAGTGCTTTACCACTCTGGCATGAGGTAGGGAGAATAGGAAGAAGCTTACAGCTTGGGAGGAATGAGAATGAGATAAAGAGACATTAAATGCCTGAAATAATGCACTCTTTCTCCTCTGGCCTATAGTGGGAAAAAATGGTCAAACTAGCTGCTCTTCCCACTCTCCTGGCTTGATGGGAAGCTCAGGATCATAAATATAGAGTTGGAAGGGACTTCAGAGACTATATGATGTAACCCCTTCCTTCTCCAGATGGGGAAACTGAGGCTCAGAGAAGCTAAATGACTTATTATTCAGGGCAGCACAGTGGATTAGGTGCTGGGCTTGAAATCAGGAAGTTTGAATCCTGCCGTAGGCTCTTGCTAGCTGGGCTTAACCTCAGTTTTCTCATATGGAAAATTAGGACAGTAATAGCACCTTACCTTGCAGGTTATTGTAAGGATCAAATGAGATAACATTCCATGTTACAGAAATGCTATTATTATTATTATTGTCATTATCATTAATTAGATAATTATCAGCATTATGAGGATTTGCTTAAGGTCACCCAGCTAGTAAGTGTCTAAGGTAAGATTTGAACAATATCTTCTTGACTCCAAGTCCAGTGCCCTATCCACTAAGAAAAAGTAACGTGTGGTCACACAGGTGACACAGGCAGGAAATGAAAGGGCCAGGATCTGAATCCAGATCCCCTGACTCCATATCTAGCATGTTTCCCATGGTACCATGCAGTCTTTTACTAAGATGACTGAGGCCATCTGATGAGAGTTTCCTCAGCCAGAGGGAACTAAGACAAGAGTAAAGGCTAACCAAGATGGTGTCAGAAACCTGCCAGCACTCCCTGCCTAGAATCTCAGATGTGGAAGGGGCATGGAAGGTCTCAAATCCAATTTCAACATGAACCAATTTCCTGTATAGAAACCCCAACAAGTGGCCATTCAGCCTCTGCCTAGAGTCCTTCAGGTACATGGACACTTCACTCCCTAAATCCAAAAGCAGATCCTTCTGCTTTGGGACAGCTCTGAGGGCTAGTCAATTCTTTCTTAGATTTGGGGCCAGTCAAAGAATTCTGTGTCATCTGCCCATGGACAGTTCCTTCAATCCTCTGTTCTCTGTGCTAAACATTTCAATTTTCTTTGATTAATTTCCTGGGGCATAGCTTCAAGTGACTTTTCCATCCAGGTTGTACCTCTCTATTCATCACCCTAGCTTGTCAATGACCCCTGAAGTCAGACCATCTCACCAGGTACTGCATGACTGCCCATGCTATTGAACTTGACTGAGCTCCCACCCTTTATGTCTGCTGAATAGTGGACATGGCTCCAGGACTGATTACAATGCTGCAAATGTGGTTTGGACAGATTATAGGACAACAGGACTGTCACATATGTTTTGCATGACTCCACATGTATAATCTATATCAAATTGCTTGCTTTCTCAATGAGAGGAGACGGAAGTAGAGTGAGAGAGAATTTGAAACTCAAAATTAAAAAGAAACAAATGTAAGAAAACATTTTTTACATATAATAAATACATATAATATAATTTTTACTTATAATAAGTGAAAAATAAAATAGTAAATAAACAACAACAAAAACCAGGACAATCACCTCATTCCTTCTAGACGCTAGAATTCTTTCCGCATAGACTCACAGGGCCAGAGATCTTTTGGTTGCCACACAACACTGTTGGCTTGTACCTCAATAAGACCCCCAGGATACCTTCCCAGAAATTGTTATAGTAAATAACCATATCTTCCCTATTCTATACTTATGTGGAATTTTACATTTATTCCTATTAAATTTTACCTTGTTAAGTTTGTCGCATTATCTCAACTTTCTGGGTTGTGGTCCACCCAGAAAAGGTATCAACTACCTCTTCTCTCCTCAACTCACGGGATCTATAATTGGCTTCCATCTACATTGTTTTCCAAGCCACTGATAAAAATATTGAACAAAACAGGACCAAGGAAAGCTCTCTACAGTGGCCATCAAATGAGAGCAAGTCAAAAAGCTCTGAGAAAATGGCTCCTTAGGTGAACAGGTATGGTCTCTAGAAGTCTGTCTTTTTGTCCTCTGAATTTCTGGATGAGATTATAACCTTGTTCACAGTGGTCAGAAGAAAAAGCTAATTGTCCAATTAAAACAGATGAGGAGGGGAAGAGACAAAAGGCGGGGACTGGGATAAGCCTTCCCACCATGAGACTGCTTACCATTGAGGTAAATACTGTCCTTGTCCAGGTAGCAGAGGCCCAATTTCTGGAGGCCATGACTCTGGTTGCTCAGCTCATGGAAAACCTGCTTGGCATCCAGAACAATGCTGCTGGGGAACTGGTGGTAGGTGCAGAGGGCACTCACACCTGTCTGTGATCCTTTTTCTTCATAGATCTAGGAAAGGAAATACTATTGATAAATCTGGAAATACTGGAAGGCATACAATCCTTTACAAATATTTTAAAATGAGAAAACAGTAAATGAGATAACTCTCATTTCTGTAATGACAATGCAAAGTGCTCCCTTAGAGTAACTTTATAAAGAAGATGGTGTGAGTATTTGTCTTCTCTGTTCTACAGATGAAGAAATTCAGAAAAGGGAGGTCATGTTACTCATCCAGGTTCATATAGTTAATATGTATTAAAGTTGAAATTTGAACTCAGGTCTTTTGACTTCAATGCTATTAGCAGCAATAGAACCAAGAAAGGACTCAGGCATAGCCAAAGTTCTGCTCAGATTACAATGGAATGACTCCTTTGCTTTCCCCCAAAAGATTGTAAGCTCCTTGAGGACAAGGACTATTTGGGTTTTTTGTTGTTGTTTTGCTTTTTAATCCCCAGTGCCTGCCACTGTGCCCAGAACACAGCTGGTGCTAAATAAATGCTGGTGAATGGAAGGATGGATGGACGGATGGATGGATGGATGGATGGATGGATGGATGGATGGATGGATGAATGTTAAGAATAGAACTGGCTCTAGATAGAAACCCCAAAACATATGTCCTCTGGAAGGCTATGAGAGAAAGGAGAAGGAATACCTTTGGACTTGGGTACTGTGAAACTAGAGGAAACAGAATTTATGAGCCGATGTGTAGAGAAGAAATATTTGGAATCTGGCTCAAACCCAGAGCACCTTCCCAGGGAAGTCACCTGCAAGTCCCCACCTTGGCAGCCTCACCTGAGTTCAAGAACCTTGCATCCAAAGTACAGGGAGCCAATGCTGCTGTTTTTGAACAAGTGGCCAAGCTGGTAAAAAAAAAAAAAGGTGAGTATGTCGGGTCATGGTCAGGACATGAGGGCAAATAGGCAGGAGGGCTGGAGGTACGCAGTCTCACCAGATGCTGCATAATGGCGTCTGTGATATTGAACTTGTGTGAGTCCTGACGTCCCACATCTGCCGAATAGTGGAGGCTGGTGATGGTGAAGTTCAGTGTGAAAGGCCTCAGGCTGGCTTTCATGGCTACAGTAAGGGAAGGAGAGAGACGCCCAGGTTTTTAACTTGTCTAGTGCCTCTTGTGTGTGGAGTACAGCAGTAGCAAGCTGTACTGGGTCAAGGACTAGGCTTAGAGTCAGGAAGACCTGGTTGTACCTCTGACACTTATTAGCTGTGTGACCATTGGCAAGTCACTTGACCCCTCTGATCCTCAGGCAAAAAATATCTAAAACTAATTTGTATGCAGGACACAAAATGCATCTTTCACATAATAATATGGATTATGGTGAACGCTGGAGTAAATACAAAGTTTAGATAAGATGTGGTCATAGAGCAAGTAATAGAGCTTATTATGCCCTCATAGAGCTTATAATAGTAACAGTATTATTATTATTATTATTATCATCATCACAGATAGCATTTATATAGTGTTTTAAGACACAGTGGATAGAACTTGGGAGTCTGGAAGACCTCAATGCAAATCTAGCCTCAAACACTTAACCAGCTGTATAACCCTAGGCAAGTCACTTCACCTATTTGCCTCAGTTATCTCATCTGTAAAATGTGGATAGTTATAGTACCTACCTTCCAGAGTTGTCATGAGAATCAAGTGAGATTGTGATCGTAAAGCCCTTAGCACGGTGCCTGGACATAGTATGCACTAGATAAATGCTATGCCATGCACAGACCACACGTGGAGTATTATGCTTAGTTCTGGTCCTTACATTTTAGGAAGACCATGAATAAGCTGGAGGGAATTGAGAGGAGGGCCCCCAGAATGATGAGGGGTCTTAAGTCTACTCTATATTGGTTTAAAGAACTGCATATATATAGCCTAGAGAAGAGAAGACTTGGGAAGGGGCAAAGGATAGCTATTTTCATAGGTCCTTTTTCAGAGGACCAGAATCAATGAGTGAAAGTGAACTTTAGGCTCAGTGTGTGGGAGCTCCTTCCTAGCAGTGAGCGCGGTCCCAAGTGGAAGAAGCTGCCTGGGAAGGCAGTGGATTCTCACTCAACAGAGGCCTTCAAGCCAGGGCCAGATGACCACTCAATGAGTGTATCATGGTAGAGATTCTCTTTTCAAGACCAGGTGGAGCTAGATAATGATGGAAATAGCATCTATAGGGCACTTTGAAATATATAAGGGTCTTTACAAATATTATCTTGTTTTATCCTCAAAAGAAACCTGGGAGATAGGTGCTATTTATTATTCCCATTTTGCAGATGAGAAAATTGAGGCAGGAGGGCAGCTAGGTGGCACAGTGAATAGAGCACTGGCCCTGGATTCAGAAGGACCTAAGTTCAAATCAGGCCTCAGACACATAACACTTACTAGGTGTGTGACCCTGGGCAAGTCACTTAACCCCATTGCCTAGCCAAAAAAAAAAAAAAAAAGAAAAGAAAATTGAGGCAGAGAGTGATCACATATATAGCAAGATGTGAACTCAGGTCTTCCTGACTCTAGGTCCACCACTCTATCCACTGCACCACCTAGCTGCCTAGATAGTATCTGAGGTTTTATGCTCTGAAATTCTGTGATGGGAGGATAATTCCAGATTAAGCATGTCAACCAGCAAAGGCTGGGATAGGTGTTGGGATGCAGATGAGGGCCCATTTCCAAAGTGCTTCCTGTCTGAGGTGACTCAGATTCTCTAAACTGATGACTCACCTACAAAATGTGGCAGAAAATCCATCATCCAGAAGTGCATGATTGTCTAAGGAGGTGGGTTAGTCATGTAGCAAAAGACAGGGATGGCAGATGGATAATCTCAGTGCTGTAATTCAGCCCACAGAGTGTTAAAAGATCTAGAAAAGCACCTTCAGTGCATTGGATAGATCTTCTATGGAGTATATAGATAATGATTACCCAGGTTAAGAAGCCGTTGATAGGTTGAGATCTGCCATGGTGGAAGGAGTATTCACATTTATGAGATCACGAGGATATTTCACTATGGATCATCTTTGAACAGACAAGTGTCAAGGAGAAAAGATACTAGCATTAGAAAGGCTGAAAAGGATGCTTGTTTCATGCATATGAGTTTCCTCATTAGTGAAGTACATGGTGGAAAAACTTTCATCTTTTCTGATTTGAGTCACTCAAAAAAAATTATGCCCTAAAGTCACTTGGGGAAAAAAAAGGTAGCAGCACAGCTCTAAATGTTTCTTTCTTTATCACTAAGATGGAAATTGTAAATAAATATTTTTTCCTCTGTACCTATGCACTGGGGGTTGAGGGAAGCCTCCACACACCTGAAGTGCTATCCTTCCTCACCTCTGCCTCTTATAATGCTTGCATTTTTCAGGGCTCAGCCTCCTTCCATTGGAGGCCTTTCCTGCCTCTCCAATGGCTAATGCCTTGCCCTCTTAGATTACCTTCCATAAATTCTGTATATATTTTGTATGTAACTTTATGTATATATGGATCTCCTGTTATCAGGTAAACTCCTTGAGGGTAAGATTATTTTCACTTTTCCTTTCTATGTCCGTCACTTAGAATGGTGTTTGCAGCACATCATAAATGTTTACAAAATGCTTGTTAAGTATTGAAATATTTTGAGTGTATGTCAAATGAGTTGGAAGGAGGAAAGTCTAGAATCAGAAAAGGCTAGTTTAGAAGTTGATGCAGCAATCTAAGAGTGAGACTATGAGAATCCAGACTACAGTAGGGTGCTAGTGGCAATGAAGAAGGGTAGGGTTTTAGATGTAATTCTTCAGAAGAATTCATGTGACTGATTGGATAGAGGGGAAGCAGATGGATGAATCAGAGATGACTTCCAGGGTGGAAGCTAGGTGAAGGGGAAAATAATGACATAAATGATAGTCAGGGAAAACCATGGATGGGGAAGGAATGAGGAAGAGTTCAAACTGAGAATATTGTTTCAAGCAGCAGTAACATGATCCAGTGAAAATGGACAGAGGGACTTTGTGATGTAGAGTTGGCACTCCTGTGAAAACAGATTACACTTTTGGAATCTTCAGCACAGAGAGGAAATTGAAGCTCTGCTTTTGGGAGAGCATTCCAAGGGAGTTTTGTAGTTAGAATAACGAAGGGTCAAGGAATGGGTCTTGGGGAATATTAGGAATGATTACAATAGTGACAACCACCACCACCACCACAAGTTCTGTGGCAAGTTGAGATTCACAAAGCCCCTTCTCCTCACAGCAACCTGGAGACATAGCAAGCATTATGACTCCCATTTGACAAGTAAAGCAACTGAGGCTCTTTACGAGCTGTGTGACCCTGGGCAAGTCACTTAACCCCAATTTACCTTGTGAAAAAAAAAGAAACTGAGGCTCAGAGAGTTTAAGTGACTTGATCCTATAAACTGATGACTCATCCACAAAATGTGACATAAAATCCATCATCCAGGAAGTGTATGATTGTCTAAGGAGGTAGTTTAAGTGAGTTGTGAAGGGTCAGGTCACAAAGCATGTTGGAATCAGGATTTGAAACAAAATCTCCTGACTCTAGATTTAGGAAGCTCTTTCCTGCTTTCTCAGTGGAACCCACTAGAGCACATCACCATGGGAATGTTTTCAGAAGGACGTTGAGGAAGATGTCCCTACTCAGCTCAATGAC